AAGGGTTTACTAGCAAGTTGGATATGGACTATGAGGATAAGTCAAGAATGACTTCTAGTTTTCGGTCATGAAAATCTCTATGAATAGTGATGCCATTAACTCAGCTGGAAATGAGAAGCAGATTCTATCATCAGCTTGAGTCTGATATTTTTTTTTAAGTGAGATATAATTGACATATAACATGATATTAGCTTTAGGTGTACAACATAATGATTTGACATCTGTGTATTTTGCAAAATGATGACCACAGTAAGTCCACTTACCATCTAAGTGTGACATATGCTTATTAGATATCAAGCAAAAATGTCAAGTAGTCAGCTGGATACGTCAAACACTGTTCCAGGCACTATATTCCTTCACACAATGATTGCAGCAATTTGAGAAGTATCAGCATTAAGATGGATTTCAAACCCATGTGACTAGGGACACCTGGGTGATTAAGTCAGTTAAATGTCTGACCTTTGATTTCGGCCCAGGTCATGATCTCATGGTTCATGAGTTTGAGCCACACATCAGGCTCTACACTGACAGTGTGAGGCCAGCTTGAGGCTCCCTCCCTCCCTCTCTCTCTCACTGCTCCTCCCTCCACCCATGTGCGCATGGACATGCTAGCTTGCTCTCTTTCTCTCTCTCAAAATGAATAAACTTAAAAAAAAAAATGAAACCCACGTGATTAGATAAAACTTCTTAAGAATGAGGTGCAACTGGACAAGAAAACACTAACTACTGAGGCCTAGGTTATCCCAACACAGTTTTGAATTAGAAATAGGTATCGGGTGAATATACCATACTTTAGATAGTATATTAGGTCTCTGTTATGGTAATACATATACGGAAACATTGAAAAAGTTGATGGGAATTTCCCTTTGAAAGACTTTATGTAAGTATTCATTCATGCTTTATTCAATAATTTAAAGAAAGAAGAAAATCTATATTAATATTAATGTATTGATAGGTTCATAGGTCTATACTGGGATACACTATAAGAAACATAACAATATTTTCCTTTAAAAATAAATCTATAAAATGGCAGTCTGTAAATTTCCATTGTCTGAACACAGATCAGTAGACTTCCATTTGTCTAACTGGAGAAAGACTGGTTCTATGCAAAATAAGTTTGCATAAAGGTATAGAGTATTGCAAAAGAAAAGTGTTGGTCAAGACCCCAATTGGATATATCCAAAAGTAAAACACTACTAATATATCTACTTTAAAGGCAGATTTTTCTAAATTGTCATTCAAGAAACATATCTTCTTCACTCTTCAAATGTAAATGTTTCTCTAATTCTTTCCACCTGGTCCAAAAAAAAAAGGGGGGGGGGGAGAAAGAACGGAAGGAAGGGAGGGAGGAGAAAGAAGAAGTGGAAGAGGAAGAGGAGGGTCAAGACAAGTAGTTGAAGAGGGAAAGAAGAGAAATAAATAAAAGGAGATCTTTTCACTAAAACCCTTCAAAAACTAAATCATACATTGGAGGTAACTGTACCTCCTACAGACTGCAGGAACTACTAAAGCAGCTATTATTAGACATACACATTCCACATAACTAAGTTCCTCTCATTACAGTATATGTATCCCAATATGTGTACAATGTGCTTACAAATCAATATCTTTATTGTCAAAGATGCTATTTTATAGAAGCTGCTCAAGGATGAGATGACCAGATTATTATTATTTTGTATAATCATGGCTTTTTTTTTTTTCTTTTAAGATACTCTGTTTTGATGTTCTAAGAAATCTTTTGGTCCACAGGTTGCCTAGAATCAAAGGTTATTCAAACAAAGCCAATTCAAAGTGATATCACTACATAGTTGTAAGAACAAATTTCAGGTTATTTATAGGCAGTTTAAGTTCTGAAGTGGACTACATATTGCTATGATAATGCGCCCATTACTAAAAGAAACACTTTAGCAAAATGTATGAGATTATGCATCTACACTCTGCATGCACATTATCTTTTTCTCCCCAAATATCATGTGTGCCATTTTCATTTAAGAATATAAGATAAGAACGTTAAGAATTAAAGATAAGAACATTATTCTTATTTTGAAAACATCTTTTCACAACGGTAAAATTACTGAATTGACACAATGCACGGGCGATGGATGTAATTAAAAAGCATTGTGGTAATTTATGTCTGTTCCCTGTAAATGACTATAAAACCACAATCTCACTTAAAAATAAAGAAAATCTGGAGAACAAAAGCTAAACGTGATACATATTCTCCTATGGAACAGTAAAGAAAAATATGCATGCCATTCATTATTCTGTATCAAATAAGAAAACCTTCATTTACAACCCAAATAGAAAAGTTTGTCTGTAGCTCTCAACTAACTTAATGTTTATTCTCTATGGATTCCTACAGACACAGGATACAGAAAAATCATAAATAATATTAGCACATATCTTCTATGAGGAGGCAAAACTCTAACATTTTTCACATACTATAAAAATGCACATATAAATAACCTACCAAGCAAATTTCAATGCAAATCTATGTATCATTTGTCACTGAATAAAATTAATTTCTGTGTCTAGCACGAGGATAGTCAGTATATCTTTGAAATGGTACAAGCTTCTCTAAATTTGAAATTCATGGGGAGAATAAGCACACACTTCTAAGAAGGATAATAAGTAAATAGAAATCATAGAATCCTGGAAGAGAAAGAGCTTAGAGATCTTACAAACCAACCCACTCATTATATATGTGAGCACTCAGTCCCAGTGTGTTGAAATAGCCTAGAGGGCAGTGTTGTCTACATCCCAAATTTTCAACACTCCCCATGGAGAAGCTGTCATCATTCTGGAGTAAACCAAAGACAATCCAATGTCAAATGTATGCTCTATGTACTCATTCAGTAAGTGTCCACAGCTTCCTTTGCTTCTGGAGTAGTAGATGTTAAATATAAAAACTAGTTTCACAAACAAACAAACAAACAAACAAAAACAAACCAAAAATTACCATTACCTTTTCAACTTGTCAACACTGCACATATTTCACTACATTGCCATGAATTTTGCTGCATATTTGTGGCCTAGACATAAATTTTCCCCTTACCCTATAATATTAAATCAGAACAAAGGTCCTAGGCGTGTCTCTGGGACATGAGGGAGGGGTGAGGAAGGGGGAGAAGGAAGAGAAGAAGGGAGGCAGGATGGGAGGGAGGGAGGGAAGGAAGGAGAGAAACGATGTCTTGCTACTGCTGTTCCAGCAAGCTGGTTAATTGCATTTGTTTCATATATCTCCAAACACCCTGGTACATTAATTACATTCTGTAACACCAAGCTCTTCTGATTCCCTCTGTCACTTCCACTGAGCAATTTAATTGTATTCCTCTTAGCTACACACTAATTCCAAAAGAGAAAAAAACAACTTGGTGATGATTCTATAGTCTAACATATAGTTTATGCATGCATTTCTGGTATTGAAATATGTAAATTCATGGTTTATGAGGACATATTATCCAAAAAGTTATATCAAAGTCTTCTTATCAGGATAATCCAACACACTTGGGAGAAATACGTAAACCTTTTGGTTAGGTCAACCTAAATGTATCGTAAAGGTAAATGTATTGAAAAAGAAAATGCATGGTGAATGATCAGGTAGGACTATAGATACTGTCACAGTGTGATTCATAATGATTAATTCCTAAACATCTACTACTTAGAAGGAAAAAAAGAAAAAGCAGTGTGCCCACATGAATGCCTTGCCTACTATCGCTGGGGGCAAAAGTACTCATGTAGTCCATGATTGAAAACAGCCACTTGACAGTAGGTAAACTCATCTGTACTGCCTCATGTTTATAGAAAGCCTTCCTGTTTTGAGTCTGATACGCTGGGTTCTGTGCAGCAGCAGCTGCCTGGAACAAAGTTAGCTCCTACAGGCGGGCACAAATAGGCAGTGTCCCAAATAATGAATTCGTCCACAATGCAAATGCTGGAGGAAAGTTTATGTAGCAACAAGCTACTATGATGGCTCAAATATCTGGACCAATTCACAGATTCTTTACAAGTACAATTATTGCAAATCTAAAGTACTACAATCCACATTTAAAAAAAAACAAACACGCTCCAGTCTTCTCTTTACACATATCCTTTCTATCAATTTAAAAACTGAAGACCCTAGAAGGTTAATACCAAATGTTCTTTCAACTTCTTATGAACTAACAAAAAAAGCATGTTAATGATTACTTCCACTCATCATTCAAAAGAGCTAAAGAAAGGATTTTGCAATCCTCCCACAAGAAACTGACATCCTGTGAAAATATCCCAGGAAACCATATCTGAACAAAAGACAGGAGAATCAGAGGCAGACTGCTGTCTGCTTGACAGACTGACTCAACCCAGAGGGAGACACCTACAGTACCTGTTTCAGATCCCCATTGTGTTTGCCACTGGGGACTGAGCTGAGTGTTCTGTGCCCGCAGCCAGCCCTGAGCTTATGTTTCCCCCCTTCCTGGAGCCTCGCCCAGTCTTACTTTTGACAGTTTTCTCCCTGTGATCTAAATTCTTGATTCTGATTTCACACTAGAAGAGCACTCACCAGCATACAAGTGATACACATCGATCCCTGAGATACCCTGCCTCAAATTCCTAACCCACCGAACCTTCATTCAAGTGTCTATTACTATTTTTCTTTACTTGAATTTCTAAGCCAAAGTTCAGATCCAAGAACAAACACCAAATAGCTGTAGGCACAAGAGTATTCCAGAGATTTACTGTAATATTCCTTTTTCTAACAAAACTAAGAGCCCATTATTTATTATGCAACTCCTCCATTAATTAAGCACATTGCAATAATAACAACAATAGGTGACTACTAACGCCTTCCACTTGCAGCAGTTGAGAAACAAAGACTTAAAATCTCTGCCCCCCAAAAGTCCCGGTGCCTGACCAAAAGGGACTAATAGACACAATGTCATTTTATTGATGGCCCACAACTCATTCAGAAATAAACGGGCTTTCTGGGGGGTGGGAGGAGGATAAAAGTATTTTTAACTTACCATCAACCCGAACATATAAAAATCCACAGAGCAGTAGTTGTGTAAACATCAGCCGACTCATTTTGACATATTAAAAAGGATCCAGATTGTTTTAAGAAACCAATCCCAGAGAGCAAACGTACAAAAATAAGTATCAAAAAAAGAGGTAGGTCCAAAGTTTAGACTTTCCTAGATGCTAATTAAAGTCAAGAAGAGCAAATCGCAAGATCAGAAGGGGTTAGGGGAGAGGTCTCGAATGGGGCACATTTAGCTCCATCCAAATTAACAGAGGGCACTCCAAAGGCTGCTGTATTTCCACACTCTGGCTTCCTAAATTCCCACAAATTCAGCCCAGCCGGAGGGATTATTCAAGTGTGTCTAACCCTCTGTCCTCAGGCTCCATTGCCTTCCAAAGCCAAGTTCTTTCTTCAGCAGTCAAGAAGATGAAGAGGGAGGAAAAAGACCTAATTCCTAGAAAGTGTTCCACAAACTTGCCAGCGCGCTGCCGAAACACCATTGGCCTGCCTACTGGTTTTCCTTGCCCGGTCTCCTTCTCGGTAGCCGCTCCACGTCCAGAGTTTTTTCACTTAACTTCCATAATAAGGATGTGTCAAAGCAACACTTTGCAGGCGGCCCGACTTGGCGGGCCTCTCCCTCGCAGCCTCGCTGCCTCCCTCCACCACTCCCGCTCCAGAAAGAGGCAAAGGGAAATCAGGGCGACTCGGGTGGAGAATCCGAACTCCTACGTGGTGGGGCTGCAAGGGAGGGAGGGGACGAGGGGCAGGGCTGAGGCAGCGGCCACCCTCGCGGTGCCGCCTGAGAGCGACGGTGAACCCGGGCGGCCGCGGGCGACCGCCGAGCGGGGCGAGCGAGCCCAGAAGCCCGGGAGCGGGCGCGAAAGGGAGCGCGCAGTCCAGCCGCCCGCCCCGGTGCAGCCGTCAGTCGCTCCGCTGCAGCCGCCGCCGCCGCCGCTGCTCCCGCGGCCCCGCAGCAGAGCGTCCGCCTCCTCCAGCAGCTGCCGAGGGTGGAAGGACTTAGAGGAGGGAAGGCGAGGAGGCGGGAGGGGTGGGGAGGAACGAAAGCTGCTAGGAGTCTGCCCCGGGGAGGGGGGCAGGGGTGACGCGGGGGTGCGCTGAGCTTTCCACCTCCAGAGTCCGCCACCCGCACGTGCAGGGGGCGCCAGCCCGCTGGGCAGTCGGGGGGGGAGCAGGGGAGGGGAGCCGAGATTCCTCGGGGGGCGGAAATTAACAAATTTGGAGCCCGAGCCACCCGTCAACTCCTTCCCCCTCTCCGCGCCTCCTGCCCGGGGCGGGGATAGGTGGGCTCTAGTCCCCGGCTCCTCGCGGCGTCCCGTTTAATGGGCAGGTAATTTTCTCGGTGAGTGATTCCATGGAAGCCCTTCCTAATTATTCATCCCCCCGTCTGCCCGAGATGCACGCGCTTTCTGGAAAAAGATCATCCTCCAGGACCCAGGGCGCAGCCTCATTACCCGTTAAAATCACACAAACACTCACTCTTCACCTTTTAGCAAAATGAGAAGCTGGGCGGGAGGGAGAAAAGGAAAGGAAACAAAATATAACCACCTTTCGAAGCGGAAAGGTTGTGTGTGGGTGCTTCCTATGTCGTTAAAAAAGCACAAGAAAAAGAGGGGGGGGGGGTTGAACAGAAATCTCTAGCCTCTACCGGCTTGTTTTAGCCAAGATCTATGGCCCCCTGAGGAATCCCCGGGGGAAGAAGGGAGGGGAAGGGTGGCATCCCCTCTTATGTTACTCAGTTGCCTTATGACCCCGCAAAGATGAGTTTGACGCGGGTTTGTGGCATGCAAGGAGTTCAGCAGAAGATGCTTAGGATGGGGAGAGGGGATCAGAGAGCTGGGGGCGAGAGGTGTACTCGAAGCCCTTATCCCACAGAGACTGGCAACTCTGAAAGGAAATTTCGGAAAACACAGGATGGAGGAAAGCTGAAAACCCACTGAGCTAAAAGAAGCTCAAAAAGAGCCGAATTTCAGCCCAAAGATGACAGACCCTGAAAATTAAGGCAAAAAACACCAAGTCAATGCCATCAGGACCGGGGATGATTAAGGAAGGCCACGTTGGATCAAAGGGATGCCAGTGTCTGCGGTGCCCCCGGTGTGGCCGGTGTGGCCAGGCCCACGTGTGATCACAGGCTCACTGGTAGCTGTTTGATGCCTGTTCCGGTGATTAGAAGGCGGGTTATGGGAACTCGACGCAGGTCCCCGAGCCCTGCTAAATGCTGGATAGTGAGTCTTTAGTTCCCCCTACTGGAAAATATTAGGAAAGAGGCTCTCTGTTTGAGGCCGTTTCAGGCCTTTTGTTTGGTGGATACATTTTGGCGTTGCCACTTAATTCAGCTCTCCTTTGCCTGTTACGGACGTGATATTGTGTGTTTCAAATAAAGGGTCAGCGACGCTTAAGCAATTAGGAGAGCTCTTGTGGCACCTCAGCATGCTTGAAAATTATGGTGATGAAATAGTCTTGCAAAAAATAAAACAAACCACTTTTCTTGTGAAGCACTAAGAGTAATTTCAGGACACTTTCGATCTACGTTATTTAGTTGTAAAAAAAAAAAAGTGCATTAATGTGCTGAAGTTAAATCACTGGAATCTTCACAGTAAGGATTCTGACTGTGTTATTGTCTTACCACTCTCTGAAAGAAAGGCTAAACGTGCACATCTTTGTGGTTTTGTTTTTCTTTTCTTTTTGTTTTTTTTTTTTTCCCCCCAAAGGGCCAAGACTAAATTAATACCCCAGTCTTGGAAAACCTCAAAATTCATTGGAGTAAAATTTCGTATTTATCTGAATACTGAAAAATAATTGATATTTTTTAAACTTGTATTTTAAAACATTTTGACAAAGATTTAGCTTAAGGGATTATAAAGTCTACCTCAATCCTCTGAAAATACTATACCCCCCCACACACAATTTCTATCTAAATCTAATTTCCTTACATGACCACAACAAAAATACTCTGAAAATAGAGTCTTCCTAATAACATAATACAGAAATTAACAAAAGACAAAGATTTAAAGCCCTTAAGTTTTAGCATAGGTCTCAGAAAGGAAGGCATTGGAACATTTCACCTGGAAGAGTTTTCTCATGGCTATCAATTTATAGGACAAAAGATAGATTCCATTTTATACTTGATAGACTCACCATGTATAGATGCTTTTCCTTAAGTGATCTATAAAATCACTCAGAGGCAGAAAGGGTGTGTGTGGGAAGAAGGGGGGGATAGGTTGGAGGAGAATGACCTACCATTTACTATTGTCCTCTGGGGCAGAAAAGTGTGGCCTCATGTCTCATAGAAAGTTGTCCTTGTGTAGAATATGACAAATAAGCTCATAGAGAGGAAAGGCTTACTTAAAGGAAATCGCTCTGGTTATATTTACTTGGCCAAGCATCATCATTTTGCATTCATAATACTTTATCTACTCCAAGTGTCAAGACACTGATTTCAGTCTTGTGCCACTTTTTGCTATAAATTACCTACATTATGTAATAATGATATCTATGACAAAGGAATTTGGAGTCCATGTTTTCATAAGTGGTATTTTTTATTTATTTTTAAATTTTTGTTAATGTTTATTCACACAGAGACAGAGACAGAGTGCGAGTGGGGGAGGGACAGAGAGAGAGGGAGACAGAATCCAAAGCAGGCTCCAGGCTCCTAGCTGTCAGTACAGAGCCTGATGTGGGGCTAGAACTCATGTATGGAGATCATGACCTGAGCTAAATAAAGTCGGAGGCTTAACCACTGAGCCACCCAGGCGCCCCTCATAAGTGATACTTTAAAAGAATGTTTTGTCGGGGTGCCTGGGTGGCCCAGTGGGTTAAACGTCCAACTCTTGGTTTCAGCTCAGGTCATGATCTCAAAGTTTGTGAGTTTGAGCAGCTTCAGCTCTCAGCTGACAGTGCAGAGCCTGCATGGGAGTCTCTCTCTCTGTCCCTCCCCCAGTCCCCCCCACCAACCCCCACATGCATGCTCTTTCTCTCTCTCTCTCTCAAAATAAAGAAGCCTTAAAAAAATAAAAGATTGTTTTGTCAGTATCTCGTTTGATATTAAATGTGACTAAGGAAAACTGATGACATTTTTAAAGAATCTCATACCAAGTAATGGTTTAAGATTATGACCAAAACTCTTACACTGTCAATAGCAGTGAGAGTCAGCAGACAGAAATGTCGTATGGACAACATTAAGTCCAAAGGGAACAAAGACATCTCCTTCTTGGAGATTTGATAAGATCTGTATTAGAGAAATCTGTGTATTTCAATTAAATTTAGCACACCTCTAGTGAGCACTGTCTATGGAAAAAATAATAATTTCTCACTCTAATTTTTTCTTAAAATAAAGGAAAATCTTTAAAACTTAAACATTCTACTAGAAATTGGAAGTTCAATTTTAGCGGTGCTTTAGCTACAAAAACATTTTTTAAAGGTTTGCAGTAAGACGTAAACTAGAAGTGGCTTAGAACAAGGAAGAGAGTTTAGAACAAGGAAGAGAGTTAGAACCAAATCAGAGAGTTTAAAATACAGAAGATGAAGCGGCCTTTTGGTTTCAGTATCTTTCCAAATACAAATTGCTTCTTCATCTCTAAACAAGCAGCTGAGTAGAGAAGTGTACATGGAAATCTAGGCTCCTTTTATGTAAAACTTGGAATGGTATTATTATGTACTCAAAATGTGCTTACCAGATAAATATACATTTTAATACAACTAAAGACAACTGTGTGTAAGAGACTATAATTAACCCTAATTTGGGTGAGGTGATCAAATGGCCTTCTTTGTGATTGTTCTTCTAAGTTGGCATCATAGAGAACCATAAAATACTCATCTGAAGGCAAGCTGCACAATATATGATGCAAAATATTAAATATTTCTTTTCCATATGAGATTCTTTAAAAATGTGGTGTGAGTGGAAAAAAAAACATTTTTTTTTTTACTCTTTCCAACATACTCTTTTTATTATAATTGTAAGATAGTATATATAGGCAAATCAAACGTTTGATCCATGATGATAATTTTCATATCTGCCACCATGTGGTGAGCACTGACTCTATGTCAG